TTGGAGATGTAACCTGCTGCCTGTTTCATATGTGCTTCAGTTCATTATCGCCGAAGGGGGCTTTTTTTTTTTTACTGTCAGTATTTTTGAAAGGCCGGCTAAAGCGCGTCCGTTCGCCAAGCTGGCAGTCATTGTAAAGGGCCTCGCTTTGGCAGTGAACATGCCAAAAAAAAACTTTTGCTTTTTCAACGCTCTTTCTGCTATTTTACTATATTTTTGTTTTGCTTTTTTTTTTTTTTTATTTATTTATCTATTTCGTATTTTGCTGTACATTTATTTGTGGCACATGCCAAAACATGGCCACTTAAGGCCCAATCTGTATTGTGTGTGCACACGGATAATGCAGATTACACACACACACACACACGCACACATACCTTATGCTGTGCTGCTCGATGTTTCTGTCTCTTTGAATATTTTTCAAAATTTTGCATATTTTGTTGTGTTTTATTTTTTTTTGTTGTTTTCTATTTTTTCATTCAGTTTCGTGTAATTGGGCAATGTGAATGCGCGCGCGATCGTAAATGGCCAAAAAGACAAATTGTAAAAAACAACAAAAAAATAAAAAAAAAAACACAACAGCAACAACAATCAAAGCAAACACAAAAGTGTAGCAATCCAAACAGGCAGCTCAATAGTTTTAGATGCATCGCATACTTAGAATCGTTATTGTGGCCTGTGTGTGTGTGTGTCGGGCGCGTGTCTTCCCATATATAAAAAACAGCATAATAAAAAATTTAAATAATAATAATAATATTAATAGCTAAACAGTAAGAAAAAGCAGTGCCCCACACGCAGCAGCTATAAAAAAAAAACAACAACAATAAAAATATAATAATTAAAATTTTAAGAAATCAAACACAAATGAAGAAAATGGCCCATAATTGTCCCATTTTTGGCAGCGGCTCAATTGAATTGTTACACACACACAAACACACTACATACACACATGCATACACACATGCATACACACATGCATACACACGGGCATACACACGACTGTTGCTTTTGCAATACAAATTCCCTGCTTAGCCCATTGTGCGGTTCACTGTATAATTAGTTAACAGAAAACTGCACCGCGATCTACGGTTAAAACTAAACGACATGCTGGCAAATAAATTTGAAAAAAAAAAACCCAAAGAGCGGCAGCCACAAAAACCGCAATTAAATACCAGAAATAATAATAATATCAATCGCTCAGCACATATAGTATTAGAGGCTATCCCAATAGGCCAAGACACGTGCGCCTCAAGCACATACCATAACACGTAACACACGAAAAAAAAAGCAAGTAAAAGTGCTTTGGTCGGTGAAACACGGCTGGCAGATACCCTGCAGCCGGCGTTTGCAATCATTCATTTGGTCTAAGCACACCAAAAACCAAAACTAAATCTAAAAGGAAGATTTATTGCAAATGAAATAGACGAAAAGTTAATCTAAATATTTTATGAGAACTTACATACCAAATTTGGTGTATGTACAAGGATTTTGAGAAGCTTGTTGTAAAATCGATATTTATCGATATTTTGGATATGGGCAAAGATATCGTAGAGCGTATGATTCACAAGTATGGCATACTTATACCTCAAATGTCTCTAGCTCTTATAACTTTTTCCACAGAGCCAAACAGCATGTATTACCAATTTCTAGTAGTCACATATATTCGGCAAACCGCAGACAATGCTCGTGATGAGGGCAGCAAGCGGAATTGCCTACGGCCAAATAAATATTTCAAATATTTTGCCAGTTCCCCCCATTGGAAGTGACGTCAGCAACATCATGAGCATCATCATTATTATTATAATCATCGGCAGTTGCTGTTGTTGTTTTTATTATTTTTATTTTCTTATTTTTTTTTTTTTATTATTTTGTCGGCAGTAGCAAGTTCTTTTTTGAAGCATGTATATTATTATTAATAGCCAGTTTTTCATTATTATTATATACTTTATTTTCGCACGCTGTTTAAAACGCGCACAAAACGCGCACTTCTCGTCCCAGGCCAAAATCCGTGTCCGTTTATTGCGCCGCAAAACTCCAAATTGGTAGCTTACCTAACTTGGCCTATAAACATTAAACACATGCTCGCAACTGATTCGCAATTCATGACCGTAAAATGCATGTTAAAAAAAAATAATAATCAAACAAGCAACAAAAAAACCCAGCCCATCCCCAACTCCTTGAAATTGGTAATTGAATCCCGCGGGAGCACATGCCGTATTATAATTTTTAATAGTTATACCTATTCCACAGCTAGCTAACAGCCCATAAGTACTTGAGCCATCGGGCCCGGAATCACGGTGTGCAATTTGAGCACATATTTTTTCTGTAACCATCATTACAGACACAGCTAAGTTGACATTTACAATCAGCATACTATCCAGATTTAAGTACAGTTCACACGGTACCCAAATATATAACTAACATTTCTATTGAGTGGCTGCGAGATGACTATAACTTAGCGAGTATCTCATGCCCTCTATATATATGTATATGTATATATACATATATATATTTGCTAGCCAGATAGCTGGGCACGTGTGAACTGAGCTTAACACTTACAGTGACTTTTACAGCATGCAATGTCACATGATGTTAAAGAGAGTTAACATTAAGTTAGGATGTTTAATGTCACATTTGCTCGTAACTCTCTCTTTCTCTCTCTCGCTCTCTCTCTCTCTCTCTCTCTCTATCTTGCTCTTTGTGTCTCGCTCTTTTTGTGTGTCTTTCATCCTAATCGAAACTGAAAAACTGGAAAACACAGAAAAACCTGAATACTTTCGTATACACATATATATATATTACCTAAAGCACAAATTTACCTGTATCCAATTTACAATCCAAGTCCCAGACGCACACACACGCACACACACACACACACTCACGACTCGTGTGACTCCTCATTGGAGCCAAAAAGATCGCTGATTCTATGAGTCTATGTCGCTCTTCCTCTTCTTTAGCGTCTACTTTTACGTTTTTAGCATACATAAATATTAATTTTTTGTTAACAAATTATAAAGCAGCGCCGCGCCTCGTCTTATTAAAAGCCATAACTTTGGGCATTTTTATGTTAATTTTGGCAGTTTTTTTTTTTTAATATTTTTTTGATTTGTCTCTAAGAATATCTATGCCACATTTTTGCCGTCTGCTATGTACTACATACGTGCCACAAAGAGTAGAGTGTTTGCCCAATTTCTCGCTAGCTCGTTTCTTATCGCTTCATTGAAGCGACAACCAAAGTTGCTTTATGCTGTGTGTCTGTGAATAATTGTATGCGCGGAGTACTAATATGCAATTAATTGATGTGTCCACCTGGCCATGCGTCTCTACCTGTCTACCTGTGTATAATTGAAACAAAACAGAAAAAAAGAAGAACAACAACAACAACAACGACAAGCAGGAAACATGAACTTGAACTTGCCGCGGCCAGCAGCTAATTACAGCAATACACAACAATGGCAAAATGCTAGATGATGGGAATATACGCACCTACATACATACATACATACATGCACTCGACAAACTATTCATATCCATTTATTGTCGAACTACACGCCGTACTACAATAGAGTTTCATATGCATCACGTATGCAAATAATTGATTCTAATTAGCGGTCCTCCATGGTCACTTGGTTCCTGGTTGAAGCATTAGAAACTCACTAATTATAGTTGTTTTACAAATTATATATATTCTCGTTCACAGATGTAATATGCAAGATTTCCTCCAACTTGAACAATTGGGTATGCTCTCTAGAGTAGCTTGTGTGTATATTGTATACGATATGATATGAAATGTTCTGTGCATACATATGACATGGAAATGTGTTTAAAGCCCAGGCATACACCTTCAAAAATGCGGGAGAGTGTATTCAAAAAGTAAAGCAATCCGGGTCTGTGCATACTCTACTAGAGTCTACCACATTTTGGGTCTCAAGTGTCGATATATGCTTCACGATTTCGATATTTATCGATTTTATGAGAACGGCCAAAGTTATCGTTGATACAAAATGAATTTGATTTGGACTCCCAAGCTTAGATCCTTCATTAAACATTAGCCACATACACAAACTATCAGCTCTACTCATTATTATTACTATATTAAATTCAATACAAAATAAAAATATAAATCAAAAGAAAAGAATTCAAGTATTGCCTAAAGGGTCGAGTCATTGGGCCAAATTGAAATACGAGCTTGAACAAACCAAGAGAATTCTGTTTCAGGTTCGATTATAATTCAAATAAATAAATAACTAAATACTATTTTAAGTTAATCGAAACTAATTTATAAAGTGACGCTGGCTGATTGAATCTGATATCATATAAAGATTAAAACCGAAAATTTAATGAATTATAATAGACAAATGTTACACACACAGAGACAGTTGTTCGTCACAGTTGACGGAAATTAGTCTGTCTATCATATTGCAGGGAACATCAGATCGAAACCAAAACCAAAAGCAAGCCAAAACCAAAACCGAACCCAAGCCCAAACCCAAACCAATTCAATCCCATAAAATTAAATCATTTGTCTACGAAAATTCCGACAATTATGGCCACAATTTCAATAACGAAAATCTACTACTCACCGTCTCGTTTCTGTTGCTGTTGATGTTAATAATAAGGCTTAATATTATTATTGTTATTGTTATTGTCATTGTTCTGCTTATAGTATAACACATGCCATGGCGCACTTATTTAGTATAACGTAAATATATTTATAATGTACACACATCTATATACATATCTATATATATATATATATACATATGTATATATATATAGAACTCAGAGTATGAGTTCAGCCCAAGCTTGGGCTATTATTGCCCATCTCAATGTTGGCTGTAATAAGTTTTCAATTTGAATAATGATCGTACTATATATAATATATATTTACCACACGTGATATTTGATGCCCGTTTTGTTTGGCTTTGACTGGCAAATTGTTTTATAATTATCTAATGGATTCTATTCAACATCTTTTTCTCTCATTCTTCTCATTACAGCAAACATTTAACTCGCCTAATTGTTAATAAAAAAGGGCAACTTTTACCCCCAACCACCCACCAAATAAAAGAGCGACACACAGCACAGAAAAGACCAGCAAAATGACTGGTTTTACCAACGCCGGCTTTGAGAATGATGAGCCCGTCAAGGTGAGTGTTAATACCTGAGTTTAAAAGCTAGGCAATTGGGTATGAAGAAGAATCGGGGCCTTAGGGAGAGCTATAGCTGGGATGAAGGCAAAGCTTAGGCGATAGCAAGTAGTTTGATGCTTTCCTCGGAGACACAAGACACAAATGAGAAAATATTGCGGCCTCCTTTTCTTTTCTCTACAATTTGTAATTCGAAATTAAAATCAAAGCATAAAAAACTTGAATAGATCTTTAACTTAATGCAAGCTTGTATTTGAGTGATGTAATGTTGGAAATGTTTCATATAATGAAATTGTATGTCACGCAACCTGACTTCAGGTTCAGGTTCATGAACGAAAACTTAACAAACGACAGCAAGGAACCGCACAGCTGGTAAAAACTTCCTGACTTTAGCCTCAGGCAAAAGTCAATGTACGCCTTATATATACAAACTGAAAGAAGAACAAGCATGAATCTGAGTTTAGCTGGAAAACCTTTCGAATTAGATATAACGAGAAGTCGTTTAGCGATCGCGGATCGCATGCATTTCTTGACCTATTGATTTCAGTTAGTTGATGGAGTTACGAGTTTTTACAGACACATGTACAATATAGACATCGATTGCAATTGGCAATTGTTGAGCTCTGATCAAAACAAGTTTACAATTCAATCCTATTCATATTTATTTGGAATGTATTTGTGCACTCGTGTTAAGCAATCAAGTTTTATGTTTATCGGACTGGTTCGCATAGATCAGCAGCATTCTGTTAGATGTAAGAAACAAAAACCAATACAAATAAAACCAATAAAAATTCCTTGATAGAATACGTGTAATATTTGTTAAAGTCATTCATGCGCATAACGTTAAGCCCAGCCCAATTGATTATAGACATCAGGCTGGCCACGATATTACACTTATTGACAGGCCAATCCGGCTAATGACTGTGTTTGCCTTCGCCAAGAAATCATGTTTTAAATTGACACGCGTCGCATTATTTATGATGTGCCCCCAAAAACAAAAAATAATAAAAAGAGATATCATAAAGAAGGAAGTATTTAAAAGCAGCTCACCTCTCACATTCGTACATGCATTTAGTTTCAAATGTATTTGTATATATTTATTGATGATCACGAGATGTTGGTGATTATGAATGATGATGTTGCCGGCTAATAGGCGGGCGGGTGGGCGCTGTGCAGTTAAGTGACCACTCCTAAAAAAAAAAAAACACATAAAATAAATTTCACCTCAAGAAACAGAAACAGAGACGACGACGAAGCCCACGCCAAACAAGCCAAGCCAAAAAGAAATGTGACAGCAGAAAGCGCTTTAAAGCCAAAGACAAACACGAATACACGAATTCGAATACGAGTACGAATACTCGATAACTACAAACCCATACGTATATATACTTACGTACGCTATGTATCGCATAATGCTGCAAGTTATAAATGAGCCTGTCCCAATTGAAACAGAGCCACAGTCGCGTGGACTTGAATTGTGTTTCTGCAAATTGCAATTGCAAAGAGCTGCATATATATGTACTTATATTATATATGCATACATATATACATATATTTTTATCATAAGTGGTTTTGCTGGCAAACATAAATATTGGTCATTTATAATGAGTCTTGTAAACCACCCATGGGCCCATTGGCACAGCATCCAAAGTGCGCATAGCCAGTTCCAAGTGCCGGGCGCAAAGCATTCTCAATGGTAAACCCGTTTTTGTTGTTGTTGTTGTTGGTAGTGCAGAGCCACATTAAGAAACCAGAGAATCAGGCAGCAAATAACCCAAAACTCAATAACAAATACAAATTTATGTAAAGTCAAGAGACATGTAAAAATATGGCGAGAGGAGACGGCGCAGCGACCAAACAAACACACACACACATACACAGACAGACAGACAGACAGACAAACAGGCAGACAGACGGAGGGACGCAGCGACGAATCGACAGACAGGCTGAAAGCCAAAAAGCAAACACGAAACGTGCCGAGTTTAAAAATAAAACAACGCAAATCTCGTGCGCCGTTGCGCCGCTCTACGCGCTTCTCACTGTGACAAGGCGCTCTGGCGATTGCTAATGTGCCCCTCACCTGGCTGCTCCCCGCCAGCCATCGCACACAATGTAACTGGTTTGCTGCTTGTGGGTCTGCTGCTGCTGCTGCTGCTGCTGGCTGCGAGATTTTCCGTGCTCTCTTATCGTATGGTATTTAATGAATGTTTCGCACTTGCCACATGATTATTATTATTGCATTTGCGGATTTAGATTTCGAATTGGATTTCGAATTGGATTTGCTTTATTTTAATTAGTGTTATTATTTTATACAACATGCATTTATGTCTGTCTGTGTGTGTGCAGCGCCACCTGCCGTCAGCTACAGAAATCAGCTGTTTTGAGCGCACAGAAACGAAGGCGAGGATCAGGCAGCGAGCGTAGACAACAACATTTACAGTTACAGCCAGTTGCTTGTCGACCAGTTTTTATTTATAACATAGTATTCATATTTGTTGTTTCTTATTTTTCTTATTTGTATTTTTACAAACACTGCAATTATATGCACATGTCTGCGATCGCACGAGCAGCTTGGAGGACAGAAGAATTTGAATTTGGCAATTTTGACAATTTAATACTTTACATTAAATGCAAGTTGAACTCTGAATATGTTCGTATTTGAGGCCAATAGAAATAAATAACCGAAAAAATAAAACGATATGGTCACCATTTTAGCGTCTAAAAACTAAGGTGAAATCAAGATTAGATATTCAAGAGAAAACAAAAGGAATACAAATTTCAAACTAAGCGGAAAACCTTTAACATATGACATTTAATTGTTGAACATTTAGAGCTGAAGCGAAAAGTACATAAATTGTACCAGTATATGGTATTTCCATAGGCAATTATATTTTGTTGCGCTACGTAATACTGTTATTTTAGAGAAGGGTGCTCCAATTGCTATTCAGCCACTGGCAAATGCGGCGTATGAGTAATATTTAGCCAAATGCATTCGTCTGGGCCGCATTGACGTGGCCGAAGTAACTCGTGTTGTTGTTTGTGTATATTCATTTTGTTTGTTGTTCTGTTTTCTGTTGTTCGCCAAAAACTTGTTTTATTTTTTGTTTTTGTTTTTGTTTTTGTTTTTGGTTTTAGCACCTAATTAAATGCAATTTTTTAATGTCAGCACAACAACATCAGCAATAAGATTAATAATAATAATAAGAATAATATTAATAACAGCAGCAACTTTACAGTTCCACGTATTTAAACTTCATTATCGTGCATTTATAATATGCTTAGATTTGTTTAAGCATTTAAGATTTTGTGTTTTATTGATAAGGTCGGGAAATTTGCATACAAACAAAGCGAGCTCTGCCCAACCACCCACAGCCCCAACTCCACCCTGTCATCAGTTCCTCCGGCTGCGTGTGAACCTTTGCCGCAGCAACGGGCTATTATGCGATAATATTTAAACTACTTACATACGATATTGTTGTTAAAACAGTAATCGATTCAAGCTTGCATAACGCCGCTAGCTTTTGTTGCTGTTATTGTTGTTGTTGTTGTTTTGCTGTTGCGGCTGTTACCTACCTAATTGGCCAGGGGACGTGGACGTGGACGTGGACCCATGGGGCTCCATGTCGGCTCCGTTAAATGCCAATTACAATTTCGTACCTCCCAAAAATGAACTAAAACAAAATAAAAGCTTAACGTATATTGCGTTAGCGTTGAAAATCGTTCAGCCCCTCTCTTTCCACACCGCCACCCACCCACCTGCCAACCGCTCTGTAACCTTCTGAGCGGTGCGGCAGCGCATGCAAAATCACAATTTCGATTTCGGCCAGTTCTACGACCGTGCCCAGCTATCTGGCAAGTGCCTTGCGCATTTTTTATGACCATTTAAAGACCGCGACGCGCATGCGCAATGTAAAACGCGCACCGAACGCACACAAAACGCGCGAAAAACGCGCGCATTCACGCATTTTATTTTCGAAACTAAAAGCGCAAACGCGCCAACACATAAATAATTAATTAAGATTGTCCATGTGTGTGTGTATGTGTGTGTGTGTCAAAGACTACCAAAGAAAAGCAAAGTGCAGCCAACCCGCACCACAAATACCCTTTCGCTCGCAAATATATGTTAGTTCAATATTTTACGTAGAACTATCCTAATTGCAAGTTTTGTAAAATTCCATTCGAAACAAAACAATCAATTGATCAAATTCCAAGAATTCAATTAGGAACAATACAATATTATCATTCGATCATATTCTAAGAAATCTATGAAGAATTTTCTCATACCATATACCAATTTCCAATTAACTTTTGACAATGGGGATTTTTCTAAATTCCATTGCACAGAGAGAAAAACTTGATAATTTTTTACTTTTTACAATATTGTAAAACATGAATTTAGCATCAAAAAGTTTTTGCTTGATTCGAGCTCAAAACCTCCAGAATTTTGTATTTATAAATCAATTAAATAAATTCTTGTTACAAGCGTGCCGTTTTTTTGTTCTCTTTATAGGGAAAATTACAATACAACCGTATTATTCTTCAAGAATTTATGTTTTGAACTTGTTTGTAATAAATAATACAGTTTTTAGAATTTATGAGAATATGAAACTAATCAATGCTTATTAGAAAATACCTTGAAACTGATCAAAGAAATCCGAAACAGTAGGGGATTGGAATATGAATATGAATTCTTAAACAACAAAGAAATGGAGTTCGAATTGATTCGAATGATTAAAATTTATAGAATGCAATTCTTATGTTGGACTATATGTAATTCCCCTTTTTTTGTTATCCATGCTAAATCGAAATTTTGAATGAACAACGATTAATTTTCGCTTTACTTTTGCTTTATTTTTAGCCAAAAGCTGGTTTCGAGCCCGACACCGCCTCGCTGCGAGAGAAAGTTGTGCTGAATCCGGCCGAGAAATGGCGCATATTAAAGAATATCTCAATCATCTCGATAGCGTTCATGGTGCAGTTTACTGCGTTTCAGGTGAGCGAAATTGATTAACGAAATGCATTTGAATGCACCTGCTAACCAATTTGGCATCTGCCTCAATACAATTTTAGGGCACGGCCAATCTGCAATCCTCGATCAACTCAAAGGATGGTCTTGGCACAGTATCGCTCAGTGCCATATATGCGGCGCTGGTTGTCTCTTGCATCTTCCTGCCCACGCTGATCATTCGCAAGCTGACGGTTAAATGGACGCTCGTTTGCAGCATGCTCTGCTATGCGCCGTACATTGCCTTCCAGCTGTTCCCGCGCTTCTACACCCTGGTGCCGGCTGGCATTCTGGTGGGTTTGGGCGCGGCGCCCATGTGGGCGTCCAAGGCTACATATCTGACACAGGTTGGGCAGGTGTATGCTAAGATAACTGAACAAGCTGTTGATGCCATTATTGTGCGCTTCTTTGGCTTCTTCTTTCTGGCCTGGCAATCCGCTGAGCTTTGGGGCAATCTCATCTCCAGCTTGGGTAAGTCACCACACATCCCAGCCAGAATCGTTCCATATCTAATATCTCTCCTCCTCCCTCTCTCTCTCTCTCTCTCTCTTTTTGTGTCTCTTAACAGTTCTGTCCAGCGGCGCACATGGTGGCAGCAGCAGTGCCAATTCCACAATCACCGAGGAGGATTTGCAGTATTGTGGCGCAAACTTTTGCACCACCGGCAACGGCGGCCATGGCAACCTGGAGCGTCCGCCAGAGAATGAGATCTTTGAGATCTCTATGATCTATCTGGCGTGCATTGTGGCCGCCGTATGCATCATTGCCTTTTTCCTGGATCCCCTTAAGCGCTACGGTGAGAAGCGCAAGGGCTCCAATTCGGCTGCGGAACTGTCCGGCCTCCAATTGCTGTCGGCCACGTTCCGTCAAATGAAGAAACCGAATCTGCAGCTGCTCATACCCATTACTGTCTTCATTGGCATGGAGCAGGCCTTCATTGGTGCCGACTTTACCCAGGCATATGTCGCCTGCGCATTGGGTGTACATCAGATTGGGTTCGTGATGATCTGCTTTGGCGTTGTGAACGCTCTCTGTTCCATTCTCTTTGGCTCCGTGATGAAGTATATTGGACGCTTGCCCATCATTATTCTGGGCGCTGTTGTTCACTTCACGCTCATCTCCGTGGAGCTTTTCTGGCGGCCCAATCCCGACAATCCAATCATCTTCTATGCCATGTCCGGACTGTGGGGTGTCGGCGACGCCGTCTGGCAGACGCAGATCAACGGTCTCTACGGTCTACTCTTCAGGCGAAACAAGGAGGCTGCCTTCTCCAACTATCGCCTATGGGAATCCGCTGGCTTTGTCATCGCCTATGCCTATGCCACAACGCTCTGCACCCGCATGAAGCTTTACATTTTGTTGGCGGTTCTCACGCTCGGCTGCATTGGCTATGTGATTGTTGAGATTCTCTACAGAAAGAAGGTAAGCTAGGTCCCAAACAACTATTACTTAAACATATTGATTTAAATGCATATTTGGTTAAAGTAACCATATATAAAATGGATTTTTTTATTAAATTTTTTGTATTTCTTATATTTACAGCAACGCAAGATCAAGAAGCAGGAGAAACTCGAGGCCGCCGAGAAGGAGAAGGAGGCCGCTGCCGCTGCGGCAGCTGCTGCAGCCGCTGCAGAGGCCAACACCGGCTTCGGCGACGCAGTCGAGGAGACCGATGATGAGCTCGATGATCTTGAAGAAGATATTGTAGTCACGCGCCTGTAATAATCGTAATTTGTTAATTGTTGTACGTTCTTTTTGTTTATTTTGCCGACGGCGTCGTTGCGGCTGCAACAGCTCCACTGTTAATGGTTAACACTGAGCAATTCTGTTAATCAAATACGAGTGCGAAACTGTTAAGCATATGTAAATTCAAACACACACACACACACACACCAAAAACTGTTGCATAGCTGCAGGCGCACACATTTCGTCGGCGCCAATCGGCGACGCGTCCGAACTTTTGTCGTTGTAGTTGTCGTAGTACTTAGTACATTCCCTCTTCCCAATCCATTTAACACAAAAGGCCAATAAGCAAGCGCAAGCGCACACACCTGCGCTTATATATATATATATATATATAAATATACATATGTGTGTGTGTGTTTATGTATAAGCATGTGTGTGTGTGTTTGCGTATAGGTGTGTGTTTGTGTGTGTTTGTGCTCATGTCACGCACAAATTTGTACATACATATGCAAGAAATGTTAACAGCGAGTTTTGCAAGTTTATAGCAATTGACGCCAGATGGCGCCTTTAACTTTACGTAGTGTGAATTACAAGCATCGGTGTGTTAGTTTAGCTGTAAGACAGACACGACACACACAGACAACACACACACACACACACACACACGCATGCATGCACAAGCACCACGCACAATGACAACATGCTGCAGCAGTATGTGTGTCAATATGCCTATTAAATTGTTATTTTATTTTAAAAACTAGCATTAAATCTAAATATACATATAAAATGAATTTTTTTTTTCCTTTTTTTTTTTGCTTATATACAAACCAACAACAAACAATTAAACAAACAAGAAAACGTGATAACCAGCCACACTCACAAATAAACACACACACACACACATGTATACAAACGTACACACACAGACACGAGTGCACACAGTCACAAAATAGTCAAATTTCTAAACTAAAACTGGCCGCGAAAACTAATATTAAAAATAATTATAATTAAGCAGTCGAAAAACAAAACAGAAAAAAAAAACAATAAAACTATATGCAAAAAAAATATAGAAAGCAAGCGATTAAAACAAATTTGATAAATGCATAAGCAAAAAATATAGCATGCAAAACGATAAATACATTTTTTGCTCAGTATTATGTTTTAAACTAAATTTAAGTGAGTTATTGTATCCTGTTTTTTTTTTTTTTTATTTAACACCCTTTTCTTTTGCAAAAGAAAAACAAATTTGCAAAAGAAACGCTATCCAAATAGTATATTTTTAAATGTATATATACATCTATATATATATATATATATATATATATATATATATATATAAATATGCATATAAAAATATACTATATATATATATACATATAAACAAATTGAAAATTTTTTAATTTCGTGTTGGAGCTGCATTATCTTAAACCTCCCTTCGATTGCAATTATTATTATTTTAATAATGTTGCATAAGCACAATATACAGACACATATATTTTTTTGTTTTATTTAAATGTTTTACGTAAATATAATCAAATCAAAACAAAATGCAAAAAAAAAAACAAAACAAAACAAAAATAATATTAATGCATACAATTTTCTTTTTTTTTTTCTTAGTTGATTAAGTAGTTCATTATATTATGTAAAATATATAAATAAATAAATGAATATAAATATTTGATATGGTAGCTGATTTCAATTTGAATATAGTTTTTTCATAATATAAAAAATATTTATCCAATTATTAACACCCTAACTCGGAGCTGGGTAAAGGGTATCTGCCAGTCATACAAGCATATTGAAGCTCTTTATTTATTGCCACGCTTGGTTGAATTATCTAGAAAAATAAAAAGTTCTTAAAAGCGTGCAAAGCTTAACGATTCACTCAAAATAAAGTAATATTAAGCAAAGAGCTTCATATGCTCAATAACCTCCCAGCTCTAGTTCTAGACGACTTTCCTATCAACTACATGTTTCTAAACTCTTTAACTTTAACTTGTTGAGAATTATAAAGCGTGTTATTCTGCATTCGCATGCAAGGCTCAATTTTCGTTTTGTTCGATAGCATCTTTCATATGTACTGGCTGAAACAAAATTTAGTATAGTTTCTTTGTGACGGACCATGGCTATGGCTCTATTAATAGTAAAGTATAGATTAACAGTTTGACGGCTATGAAAATTATATTATAAGGCAGTTCGATTGAATTTAAAAATTAATCGTTGCAGGCTTTGGTTAAGACAAAAAAAAGCCTAACTTAAACTGTAGATCTTGATTAAGAATATATATGTACATACATACATACTTAGTGGAATCAGATGACTCGTGATGTTATGATGCCCTCTGGAAGGGTATAAAATAACAAAAGTAACCTTTTACTTATCACGACGCTCGCTGCACGAATAGAGCACAAATAATGCTTATAAGTATGTTCGTATATAAAGATCTGCAGATCGGTTTATTCTAAATTTAAATATATTAAAATTAAATACATTATTGTTCTTGAAGAAAAAATGCCTTAAACTTGTAGCAGACTTAGACTTTGATTAGGCAATTATGGAATTACAGCTCAATGGCATCATCTGCCTTAAACTGTTTGTTCTTGCGACGACGACTGGATTTGATCTTGCTGAGCACGCTGTAGGCCTGCTGGATTTCAATGAAGCGTTGGTGAGCAGCGGGCCGCAGTGCCTCATCCTTGACTTTGTCGGGATGGTTCTCTTTGGAGAGTTTGCGATAGGCAGCCGTAATATCTGCCTGCGAGGCGGTGGCACTGACGCCGAGTACCTTGTAGGCATTGCGTTCACCATCCACATCCATGCTCTCAAAAACCTCCCGCCACGTTTCGTACCAGCCATGATGCTGCGCATATGTGTACGTGTCGTACAAGGCCTGCTTTAAGTCTGTCCACCAGGCGGAAGCGAGAAAATTTTGCAGTGCCTCGTGTATGGGCACTTCGCCGCCATCGTCGTCGCGAATGGTGCCGTTGAACAGCACCACGGAGCCCCACAGGCTAAAATAAATGCAAATGGCTGCGCCCAGCTTCAGTGTGCGTTCGGTGGGACCGCGTCTGCGCGGCGGTGTACGGCGCCACTGCTTCGAGAAGGTATCAAAGACCAGCGCCGACACAAGCGAGGTCAAGAGCAGTGAGTATGTCTCATCATAGATGAAATAGCGTGACGGGTAAGCAACCATTGCGCCTATAAGGCATTGCCACAAAACGCCGGACTCGCGTCCAATGTTGCCCACGGTCCAAATGCCCAGCGACACGAAAATCGGGATGCACCAGTGTAACCAACCAAAATCAATTCCCGCAGTGATGGCTTGCGGTATGGCCGAACTAAATAACTGGCCAAACAGGTATCCAATCATGATTTGACCCAGAAAACGCTTGGCCGAGTACGGCGGTCGCGGATAGGCCTGCAGTTTGGCGACAAACACTTTTAAAAACTGTGGATCCTCGTTGGCATCGCGCACATATTCGGGTATGAGAAACAGCTCGCTGAACCAGCCAATGCCCAAGTAACCGCCCAGCGAGCACCACCACACAAAGGCGTGACGGTCGCGATGTAAATACAAGTGGTGCAGTCCAAATATGCCGCCAACGAGCCACAACACGTAAGCGATCACAACGGACTTCTTGCCCGGCAGCGCATTCTCCTCCCGGTACGACTTGGCTTGTCCATTTGCCTTCGCTGGTGATGCTGAGTTGGTCAGCGACTCACAGGCAGAGCCCTTGCTATTGTTGTTGCTGGTCACAACCGTTTCCTTAGGCGCCATTGTAGAGATATTCTCACTGCGGTATTGGTAAATGGAATATGTTATAAATATAGCAATTGTAAAATGAAATTCAATTCTTACCCGCAATAGCCCAGTTACAATTTTATGAGTCTTACTTTATTGAGTGGATTTTTCGTTCTGCTGTCACAGTAAGCAGCAGCAGCAGTCAGTGCGAGTCGAGTCGACTCAGTCAGCCGCGATTCAAACTTTCTCTTTTCACAAATTCTGTGCACGCAGCTGCAACAACAACAACAACAACAACAACAACAATGACGACGACAACAATAACAACAGTGCGCAGAGACGACTGGCAGCAGAAACAGTTATAACCGCACTGATGCGTTCAAATCTTATTAGTTCTTAACGCTTCGATTTAACTTACAATGTTAAGCAATAAAAAACTGCGCGCTATTTCACAAACACAAAGTTCTATCGCTCTCCACTTTGTGCGCGTTTCGTTTATTTGTCGTCTTTGTCGAACGCCACTTCATTCCCGGTTGAGCCTGTTGCTTTTTCTTAACTTCTTTAAGCCAGATCACTTTTTAGACTTAAAGCGTAAAACAGTCTGGCAGGCCTGCAAACAAACAGTATTGAAAAACTCCAAGAAGTGTTGAAAGCGACGAAAAAAGTGCTGCAAAACGTTGGCAACAATAATAATCGCGCGCTGATCGAATTTTAAACATCGTTTGATAAGTTTACATTAATTTGTTAGTTTTCATACTCTTATGGAGTGTAATATAATTTAAATGATATGGTAGTTTATTTACCGAATGTGAGTTTTGTGATCAGTTCAATTATCTCCAATATTCAATTTATCCTCTCGGGCTGCAGTGCAGATATACAAATTGTTCGACTGTTCAGTTTAAAGTTATTTATGGAGTCTTGTTGCATATGCTCGACAAATTTGATTTTTGAGTTTAAAAACTGACCATAATATTTTCATATTGCTAAATTTCAAAATGAATATCTAATCCATAGCTTATATGGAATGAAATAAAATTGAATGTTTTCTTTTTATTTGAATGCTTACACGTATAAAAAATGTAATTGGGTTTAATTTGACACGGTAATTGCGCTCGATTAAATGTAGAATGTCTACATTGAGTTAACTTATAGATAATATGCGAAATTAGCATAGATGACAGAAAAGATGAGGATATAATTCTTAGCAGCTTACAGACTAATGGTTATGAGAAAAAATTTAATACTTTGAATGTGCGGCTATATTGCGTCGCTGGGTTAATAAATTAATATATAAAAACCACGAAGAAAAAAAAATTAAACAAAAAAAAATTCCAATTTGATTGAACATATACAAAACAAATTATTGAGTATTGGCAATTAGTTATTTTTCTTTTTAGGCTTCTTGGGGTTACGCGAACGCGACTTGGCCTTGCAGAGCGGACAAATGGGCGCATTGCGATGGATCTGCTGATGGCAGGACAAGCATGACTTCATTGGGGGCGGTTGTTGCCTCAGGTTCACATTAAAGTCGGAGCGAAAAGATGGATGGTGCCCAATTCCAATTGATGGTGACTGCTGCAAGCGATTTGTGGTTGGCGGCGGCGGCGGCGGTGCCGAGAAATCATTCTTTCCGAGACGCGCTGCGGCTACGGCTGCGGCTGCGGCAGCGCCAGCGCTGCCCGGTGCGCCCGGTGGGGCTGGTGGCATAAATGCATGCCCTGGCCCGCCTGCACCTCCACTGGGCACATTCGAGCCGCCGCCGCCACCGGCGCCCGCTGCATTCGGCGGCAATGCCGTCACCGTGGCCTCGGGCATCAGCGGATGCCGTGCGTGTGGTCGCGCCAGAGATGTGGGTTGTGTGACGGCCGCCGCTGCCGCCGCAGCTGCTGCAGCGGCCGCTGACTGGGCGGCAACTTTAAGGAAATTAGTCTGAAAGCGATCTTTTGATATGGGGCTGCCCTCCTCCTCGTGCAGATCGCGCAGCGGACTGAGACCAAGGTAGTCGCGCCGCATGTGGTCGATTTGATACTTGAGGGCGAGGTATTCCTCATAGACACGGTTAGCCATATCGAAAGAGCGCGTCTGATTCTCTTTAGTCTGCTTAATTATATTCTCCATGTCATTGATGTCAGCGTGTATCTGGCGCAGCTCCTCTACATGCGACATCTTCTCCTCCAGCAAATGCTCCATTTCTTTTCGATATTCGTCCAAGCACTTCTCCTCGTCATCGCTCAGCTTCACCTCCTTGATAATCCGCACCTTAAGCTTCTCCAACGCCAGAGTCTTGTCCCGTATATCCTTAATTGCCTCCAGCTTGGCGTAATAGTGCCGCTCGTTGGAGCTAGAAATCTCGCTGGTGGCCATTTTGAATGGCTGCTCTGATATTTATATATGCTGCGTTTGATTCAATTCGGGATATTGATTTATCTGTGGCACTTAATATATTCAGTGTTAGCCTGGTATTGTTGATACAATTGTGCAATGGAGAGGTGCAATTTTTAATTGAACTTTTTTTATTTTTGTATGCTTTTTTCACTTTTGCTTTGTGTATTTCGTACAGGGATGGCTACTTCCAACCAGGGCCTTGTATTTAATAATATCGATATATCGCGTAACACTTTCAGAAACCCGAATATTAAATGTGCTCCAAATTCGAGGCGGTGACCTAGCGTCGATTTTTGTACTGATTCCAATCATTGTTCGATTCCCGTTGAACCAGTAGCTCGATAGGTGTGCTCTCATTTTATTATTTTCTACAAACCTGGCTGATCGATTTGTTTAGAATTAATGCGTAAAGCTTCTCGAAACATATATCTTCAAGTTGCTAAATCGTCCATTGCGTGCCAATATCTGAGAAAAGATATTACCTTCTTCAAGATTAGTAATGTGAAACTATAGGCTTTAATCATGTATATGCGGAGTTCTTGGCCATTTTCAACTTTTCAAATTTTCAACCCCTTTGTTAACGCATATTATAAGCTAAAATTCAAAAACAAATGATTGTAGATTTGTAGATTTTGGTTATGTGCTTAAAAACATAAATAAATGCATTTAAAAGTGAGCAATTTTTTTCCGATAGCAATCACCAAAAATCGACGCTAGTCTGACGCATATGCACATATCTCGCAGCCAATCACAGAATAGACAAACAATGGTATCGACTACTGAGTACAAATATTTGGCGCGAACAGTTAGATTCCCTTAATACAATACAGACACGTTTATTTAACTAAATTCTAGTTGCACTTTTATATTCACTTAAAACGAAACGAATCCAAGTAACCGAGCAATATTTGTAACATTAATCTTAACATTCTCTTGACATCGAATCAACCACTGGTAAAACATCGACTTATCGATATACCTTAGTAATTTAACATTACTACTTAAAATTGAAATTCTCGGCTTTTCCTCAGTTTCCCTTCGATTTTCATCTAAATTAATAACAAAACCAAAATGGGGATTGCAGAGACAGACAAAAGAGTACAAAGAGACTCGTCAGATGTCAAGGCCCAAAAGGCCAGGAACCGCTCGTTTTTGAAACGACGCGCTGTGCAATTGAGCAATTGCTATTTGCAGAGCAACTGGAATTTGTGCACACATTTGCAGCGTCAATGGAATCGTCGCCGTTTGCGTCGCCTCTTCTCGTCGGATAAGCAGTCTGGCAGGGATTCCAATCGTTCCAATCTGAAACAACAGAGCTGGTCCTTTTTCTGGTACACTTTGGTGCCCATGTTTCTGGTATTGTGCTTCAGCTGCGGCATTACCTTGTATCAAAACACCGACGCCGTCTCGAAGTTCATGCAGCGCTACTCTACCCAGTATCAGGCTATAGTGCACAACAAGCTGAACTACTGTGATCGCACCATACCGTTGCACGAGATATTTGAACACATTCATGAGAATGTCATTAATCAGGAAGTCGCACTCGAACAGCTGGAACAGGCATTGGCAAACCAAAGCTCATTTCAGGCCATTGCGCTGGTCGGAACTTCGGGCGTTGGCAAAAGCCTTACAATGCGGATGCTGCAGGAGAAGTATCCATGGTCGGAGAACGTCCAGAATATTGCCTGGAATGACTATGAGCTCATTGACGAGGAGGCACGCTACCAAGCCGTATGGGGCATGCTCAGCAACCTGGCGCATTGCGGCCGCAATTTGATAATCATTGACAACATGGCCATGTGCGATTTGGAATATGTATCATCAATTAATTCACTGATACTATCAAACACTGACGTGGCCAGCGGTAACAACGACCTGGACAAGAAGCAGCTGACAATCATCTATGTTTTCAATCTCAA